ACATTTAGGATCTATGTTTACATTTTATTTTCTATGTTCACATTTTAGGATCTATGTTCACATTTAGGATCTATGTTTACATTTTATTTTCTATGTTCACATTTTAGGATCTATGTTCACATTTAGGATCTATGTTGACATTTCAGGATCTATGTTTATATTTTATTTTCTATGTTCATATTTTCGCATGTTTCAGTCACGTGGATTTAATGTGATGATTAAAAACAACTCAGCATATGAGATTTCTGGGGAGGGAGGGGCTGTTTGATATGAGCGACATGCTAATCAACATTTTATTTAACAACAGATGAAGAACTGCTGATATTTTGCTCAGATTACACATGAATAGTTTAATAAATTCTGCGAATGAAAAAAGGAATGAGTTTAGATAGGATTATCCTTTCGGTGATACATACTGGGCCTACTGGTGCAATCTGTAGCCATTATGGGGCTGATCATGGCTAATAACCATTTCATGGAATGATAACATTCGAAGCTGCAGAAATCGTCTGGAAACTATATGGTGAATATTTTGGTTTATCACTAGTGTCAGAATTTGAACTGATCTTGAAAGGTGATTTTTCTGCTGGTTTATATTTTAGTTCTCTAACAAAATGAGATTAAATTCAAACTGATCAGTTTATCCGGCTTTAAACGTAGAGCTGCATGATGACGCGTTGTGGTTATAGGAATTTATTAGGTGTTAAAGGATGTTAAAACAGCTTTACTGATAATATAAACAATGTGCAAAGCAAACTACTTCTATCGAACACTGATGTATATCTGGCACAGACAACACTGACAGCTGAGAAACACACAGACAGGAAGTTACAGGACAGCAGGCAGAAAACGGCTCTATTTACACACAGACATGGATCGGACACCTTTGATTGTTCTCTTCCGTTCATGGATCCCTCCCCTTCAGATTATTGTTTAGTCCTTTTTTATTTGTCCATTTTCAGGATGATCACAGTTCGTTTCTTTCCATAACAGCCTAAGCATCAAAGTTCCCCATAAAGGCCGCAGAGCTGTGCGCTACGGCGCGCTGCTTTTCACCTTGGCCACGAACTTCTTCTCCTTCACTCTCCTGTTCTGGAACCAGATGGTGATCTGGCGCTCAGACAGGTTGGTCACCGCAGAGATCTTCCTCCGTTTGTCCTTTGTGATAAACTTGTTGGCTGCATATTCTTTCTCCAGTTCTTTCAGTTGGACTTTAGTGTATGGGATCCGCTTCTTTCTGCCTCGGCGGAAGGGCGACCCGTCGTGCTGGTGCGCAACTACATCTGCAGAAAAATAAATGTTTTTTTAGGAGCGAGGATGCACAGATTAGGATTATTTCCATAAAACGACATAAATCTGAAATTTAAAAGAGAGTAAATACCAATATTAATAAGGATGACTACTAACCCTAACTGCATCTTGGTGGAAAAAAGGCCCCGAGGCGCTAAATTTGGATTATTTTGACAAATGTGAAGCATTTTCACCTGATTTAATAATTTTGTCTCTGTAGAAGTAAACTGTTTTATATAAATATCCAACGTATTCAGAGATAAGATACATATAACATATTTTCTTGTTCATTTCTGGTTTATTTATAAGACAAAAACAAATTATTCTGCATTGTTAAATTAAATAGACCTTCCTGATGATTTTAACAGGGTCATTGATTGGGGTCTAAATGAAAATGACCTTTTATTCCTTTGCATTAAACGGGGCAAGGCAAAAGGTCCTATTAGAGCTCTTTGTTAAATGAGCCGCTGTGATTGGTTAACCTGAACAATATCTGAAGTTTGTTAAGCATCACTTGATCTGATGGAAAGATGAGCCTTTGTCAATGTTTAGATAGTGTGCATTTAGGAAAGCGAGCTAAATGATCAACATAATAACAATAATAATAATTAATAATGTCATTCTTGCATCTTAAATGTGAATAGACTCGATTTTCCAATTAATATTTATGTGATTAAATTAATTCTGCTTTCAGTTATGAAGCTAATTTAATGAGTGAAGAATAAAGAAGTTACCAGCGAGCGCAGTCTTCCAGAGGTGTCCAGCGTGCGCCTGCTCCTTGGAGCAGTACATCTGTCCTCCCCAGCCGTTGGTCAGAGCCCACGGCTGGTAGCCGTCCATGGGGAGCAGGGTTTCATGGCGTGGCTCCCCGCTGCCCAGGGTTTGGACTACCGACACGTCCAGGTAGCTGGCCATGGACTGGTACGGGTTTGCATAGCCGTGGTACAGAGTGAACTCCTTGGGCCGGTGGTTCGGGTACTCCTCAGAGCTCACCGTAGTGTCCATGTACTGCGAGTTAAGAGTGGCTCCGGCCGCCTGGGTGCACGATTTGATGGAGCTTCGCCCCATCCTGCAGGGATAGTAGCTGTTACCAAAGTAGCTGTATGGTAACGCTGATGAGCTCTGGTGCGGCACCGCAGCTGCGGGGCAGGATCCGGCCCCACATTGCTTCCCTAAAGATGCACTAGTCTCAGTGGGGCTTGAAGTAGAAACGTCCACAGTAGAGTATCCCGCCGAGGAGTGCACCAGGCCGGAGGCGTGTCCTCCGAAAGCGGCTGCAGCCGCAGAATGGGCCATGATGTTGCGGCACTGGCCCGCCGCAAAGTTTCCGCTGCCCACTAGACCCTCCATGTTTTTGTTCAGGTCTTCCCGGTTGTTTTCATACACGAACATCACAGTCTCCGCCGGCCAGCGAGGATTTAAGACCAGGGAGGTTTTCATATACGCGACTTCCTCAGCCTGGCCTCTGATTTTCACCGTTTCCACTTAAACTCTGATCGCCTTTGGATTGCTGCTACATTTGGAAAAAAAGAGGATTGATTCTCCTTCCAGCAACCTCCCGCCACAACAGATTCAACTCTAATTAATGCGCCTGCATGGTGCTGCACGCGCCCCAAGCCTTTCACAGACAGTCAAAGACAAAGACTCCCGGTAACCGAGCAGAACCCTGGTTTCATGTCTGCAGAAGCCTTGACGCAACGAACCCCCTGGACCAAGGGACGGACAGCCATTGGCTGAGAGGTTCTGATCACATGACGAAGCAGCAGCGGAAAGAGGAGAACGGCCTCGTTTGGAGCCGCCAGTCAAAGGAAAACAATTTAACAAGGCTGTGGTCTGGAAGATAAACAGATGGATGACGCGTCCTGCGCGCGCGCTGGCATCATGTTAGACAAAGTTTCTGATGGTTTGGAATTAATGCATGAATAGGAATTTATTTCAGACAATTTGACAAATAGCAATAAATTAATCAACCAAATACAAACAAAAGAGACTAGTTAACATCAAACCAAACTCCAATTTCCAAACTAACTAAATTCACCTGAACATAAATAGAAACAAAACCCTCCACCAAATAAACCTGCTTGTAAATACAGCCAGAGAAATTGTCTGAAAACGGATATGAAGAAGTCAAACTATATATATATATATATATATATATATATATATATATATATATA